AGATTTTCCTCCTTGCATCCAGAGTCTCCTGATAGGAGCACTCGGCCAAGAAGTCTGCCAAGGCTTGCGCCTTGATGGCTGTTCTCGGCTGATAACCGATACTGAACTCGGTGAGCTCGAAAGCCCACTTTGCTAGTCTACCGGATTTTTCAACCTTGCCGAGGACTTTCTCTAACGGCTGATCAGTTAGAACCGCTATTTGATGAGAATCAAAATAGGGTCGCAACTTCCGAGCAGCCACCACCACTGCATAAGCCACTTTTTCTAACAATGGGTAGCGCGTCTCGGCATCCGTCAGGGTGTGGCTGACGAAATAGATCGGCTGTTGAACTTTTTCTTCTTCCCTTAGCAGCACCGCGCTTACCGTGGCTGGACTGACCGCCACGTATAAGTATAGGATGTCTCCTACGACTGGCCTTGCCAGTGTTGGGAGTTGAGCCAGGTGTTCACGGAGCTGCTGAAAGGCTGACTTTTGTTCGTCTCCCCATTCAATGCCTTTTGAATTTTGGAGCTTCAGCGCCTTGAAGAAAGGGAGCCCTTTGTCTGAGGCTCGTGAGATGAACCTGGACAAGGCAGCCATTCTCCCGGCTAGACGCTGAATATCCCTTTTTGTCTTCGGCTCGGGGAGGTCTAAAGCAGCTTGTACTTTGGCGGGGTTTGCATCAATCCCCCTCTTGCTGACCATGAAGCCGAGGAACTTGCCTGACTTCACGCCGAAGACACATTTCTTCGGATTCAGCTTCATTTTGTATTTTCTGAGGGTGGCGAAGGTTTCGGCTAGGTCCGTGACATGATCTTTTTCTTTTATGCTTTTGACGATTGAGTCGTCAACATAAACCTCCATGTTTCGGCCTTTTTGCTCGGCGAAAACCTGATCAACCAACCTCTGATATGTTGCCCCCGCATTTTTCAATCCGAAGGGCATCATTCTGTAATTGTACAACCCGGAACTTGTTATGAACGCTGTTTTAGCTCGGTCCTCGGGGTGCATGAAGATCTGATGGTATCCCGAGAATGCGTCCATGAAACTGAGCAGAGCATGCCCGCTTGTCGAGTCGACCAGTTGGTCGATCCTCGGCAGCGGATAGGAGTCCTTGGGACATGCCCTATTCAGGTCCGTGAAGTCAACGCACATCCTCCAGTTACCATTTGCCTTCTGAACCATTACAACATTGGCCAGCCACTCCGGATACTGACAGGGTTCAATGAACCCAGCATCTAGGAGCTTATCGACCTCAGCTGCGATGTTCTGGTTCTTTTCGGCGGAGTAGTTCCGCTTTTTCTGCTTAATGGGTCGACTGGAGGGGTCGACATTAAGCCTATGGGAGACGAAGTCCGGATCAATCCCGGGCATTTCTGCGGCTGAGAAGGCGAACACGTCTCCACTGGCCCGTAGGAGTTGGACGAGTGCCGCACGGGTGTTTGGCTCCAGTGACGACCCGATGCTAACACATCTGTTCGGATCTCCTACGGTCAGTTCTATTGACTCGGTCAGGTCATCCGTCTCCATGCTCTTAGAGTTGGATTCCTCGAATTCCGGCCTGCTATCAATATTAGCAGACTTTCCTGACCGCGGCTGGCCATCAGAGTCGTTCGGCTCTGAGGCGGAGTCAGCCTTTTGGCCCCCATCAGATTTCTCGTTGTCTGGGGCTTCATTAGCCGAAACGTCTGAGCCTCTCGGCTTTTTGGCGTTTCGGTCCCGGTGCTTTTCCTCCCCATCGCCACGGTCGCCTCGGCGAGACGTGGATGGCTTGAGGTGATTGCATCGGCGGGCTTCTTTTTGACTGCCCTTTATTTTCTCGGAGCGTCCCTCGTCTGAAACGTATATCATGATTTGATGATACGTGGAGACGACTCCTTGAATGCCGTGAATGAGGGGTCTCCCCATGATCACGTTGTATGCAGATGGAGCATCTACGACCAAAAATTCGGCCATGATATTCCTAGCTGCTCGGCCTTCGCCGATGGTGACAGGAAGTGTAATCTTCCCGTCAGGATACGAGGAAGAGCCGTTGAATCCAGACACTGGGTAGGGTGCGGGGGCCAGGTGCTCGGCTCCCATCCTCAGCTGGTCGAACGCTCCTCGGAAGAGGATGTTCGCCCCGCTACCGCCGTCGACGAGGGTCCGCCAGACGTTGCGGTTGGCGATGCCCAGAATGATTACTAGTGGGTCATCGTGGGGGTATACCACCCCCTCACAGTCTTCGGCTGTGAACAGGATGTTCGGCGCCGGTGACTGGGACTGCCGAAGCTCAGCCTGATGAATCTGATGGGTTAGACCCCTCAGTTGGCGTTTGGCTGTGCCTCGCGAGATTCCCCCGGAAATAACTAGGATGTCGAGGGACTCCTTGCCCTGAGGTCCCTTATCCTTCTTCCGAGCGAAGTTGAGGTCCTGCCGAGAATCTTTTTCAGCTTTTTTCTCCTCGCGCCTGTCCGCGAGGTATTGGCTCAGGTACCCCTTGCGGACCAGATCCTCAATCTGGTCCTTCAGCTGGACGCAGTCCTCGGTGCGATGTCCGGGTGAGTCATGGAACTCGCACCACTGGTCCTTTCCCCTCGTCTGATGCCAGGGAGGCAACGGACGAGGTTTTTTGAATCTCCCCTCGTCCTTCGTCGTGCTGAAAATCTTAGCACGGGGAAGGGAGAGTGGAGTGTATGAATCGTACCTTCCCGTGTAGGGAAAGTGTCTTTCCTTCTTCGGCTCGGCAGCAGAGGACGGTTCTGAGGCCTTAGCCTTCCCTTTCCTCTGCGCCGAGACTTCGGGCTGCTGCCCTTTCGGCTTCTCAATTCTCGGACGAGACTGAGACCTGGATCTGTTCCACTCCTCGGCTCGGATGAACCTATCCGATGCTTCCAAGGCTTCCTCCAGGGTCTGCGGGGGATGCATGACCATGAAGTCCAGGAACTTTCCAGCTTGGAGGCCGTTCCGTAGCGCGAACACGGCCAGGCCTTGATCCAGGCTTGTGATTCCGGATGACTCGTTGCTGAAGCGAGTCAGATAGTCGCGGAGGCTCTCGTCCTCCGCCTGCTGCAGACTCATTAGCTCTGCAGTGGTCTTCTCTCGGCGGTTGGCCGTAGAGAATTTGCTCTTGAACTTGTTGGAGAGGTCGTTCCAACCGGTTATGGAGCCTTCCTTGAGCCCTTTGGTGATCCAGGATTGGGCAACACCTTTGAGGGTCGTAGGAAAGTATTTACACCAGGTAGCCTCAGACCTCGGGTTCAGATACATGTGCCCCTCGTAAGAGGCAATGTGATCCTTAGGATCTGAGGTACCATCGTAAGTAATATGTGCCGGGATTTTGACCGTTGGCACATGCTCTTCCAGAATCCACTTCTGGAAGGGCGAGTTCGATGGAACCATGACCGCCTTCCCCTTGTACCCGGCCTCAGGGACCTCGCTCCCTCCTCTCTCAGAGGTGGAAGTGGTTTTCGTCCCCGGCTGAGACAAGGTTGGGTGGGGTCCGGTATCCTCTGGGAAGGTGAGGCGGCTATGCACACTCACCTCCCTCGAACCCAAGCGTTCGTGAACGCTTTGGCGGGCGAATTCCGGGTCCTTGGAGGGCCCCATGGAATTCTGAGCTTCAGAGTGGTCAGAGGGTTGAGGGTTCCTCCTCCTCTCCTTACTGGAGTTTCGGGTGTCCCCTCGCCACCTCTGGCCGAGCTCTCTATGTGGTGGAACTTGTCCACCATCATCCTGACCGATCCTCCTTTTCAGGTTTCTCGGCTGGTGATCATCAGGCATCTGGATTGGAGCCCCTTGAGCTTTAAGGAACTCCATGCAGATGGCCACTGCTCTGGCCACTTCCTCGGTGGAGGGTCCGGAGGGAGGAGTCTCCCGCGGATGTGACCTGGATTGCACGCTATGGCGCGGCGGGGAGTTCCTCGCACCTGAGCCACTCGGTCTCGGGGATGGCCCCGGCTGCCGAGTGTGGTGCGAGGTGTTCTCCTCCTGGAGGCTAGGACCTCTTGAGGCTTCCCTTTCCGGAGAAATGGGGGCCTCCGATTCGGAAGAGGCTTGCTCCGGGGAGGGATAAACCGGCTGGCGTTCCCTCACCGTAATCCGGCCTCCTCCCTTCTTAGCCTTCTTGGAACTCTTTCCACTCTTAGTCATGGCGACTGCCGGAGTGTTTGATGACTGACGCGAAATTTAGTAGCGTTCCCCACAGACGGCGCCAAATTGTTTCGGATGAAAACAATCGAATCTCGGAAGATCCTTTTATCTTGAGGGAACTTGGTCTCGGTCCGAACGACGCAGGAGCCGAGGGTTTCCTGCACAACAAATACACGTAAACTAGCCTCGGGGGGGACGCCGAGGAAGGCCCCTCCGATGCTTAAGTCAGTATATTAGAGAGAGAAAGCTGTGCAAGAGTTTAGTTGCTTGAGGCTTTATTGTCTTACCAAGAATTGACCAAATTGTTGGCTTTTATACCTTGGCTAATGAAGGAGGCGGATTGGGCCCGGAAGTCAGTTGGGCTGGGCCAAGCTGATTGGGCCGTTGACTGACCTTGACATGGCTTTGAGGATGTTGATTTTTGACTTTAGCACATTTGGAGAGTTGAACCTTAACCTTGGGCTTTTAATTGGATCATTCAGTGACCAGGCCCAATTGGACTAAATTGGACCCAAACAGAAATTATTACCTATAAAGCGGGTTGTAGGTAAATCGGACCATTTTTAAGCAGATTATGACAAAAGGTTGGATTATATTGAGTTAATAAAAAGGTTGGACTATTTTGAGAAGATCCCCTAAAGGTGGGATGATTTTACAGCGGTCGTTTGAAAAATAACTATCATATTATTTTAATGGTATATAATATGATCGGTTTATACTCTCACATTATAAAATGGCCACAATCAACCTTATAATATCTACAATGTAAAAATAAATTTTGAAAATTTTAATCCAACATAAAATAAATATTTTTTGGGAAACTATTAAATAAGAATAAAAATTGCATAAATGAAACTAAAAATTTGATAAATAAAAAAAATGTTGATAATACTCTTTAATACCATTAATAAAGTAATATAATTAATTACTTTGAAAAAATATGTGAATTATTGTAAAATTTTCACTAAAAATGAGATTATTCTTGTCAATTTCTCCCACGAAAAGAGTTTACTGTTGTTAGTTTCAAGGATAACATTGCTACGGCCAGCTTCCATAGCAATTGTTAAGGCATGTCTAGCTGCAAATGCTTCTGCAGCCTCAACCTCAAAACTACCTTTCATCAAACAACAAATAGCAGCCATAATTTCACCCTCACTGTCACGCACAATACCGCCAAAGCCAATCGAATTATCATTGAAAACAGCAGCATTAGTATTGATTTTATAGAAGTCAAAGTCAGGGAGGTGCCAAGTCTTGCAAGTACTACCAACTGAGCTTGACTTAGGTGAAGCAACCACATTAGCTTTTTCATATTCACCAACCAAATTCATAGCCGTATTGATCACATCCTCAACTTTCACACCAAAATCCTTTAGCACCAATTAGCACAAACTCAGAGATTTTATATTTAGCATTTGATTGAGCTTTTACTTTTAAATTCAATTAGTTTACTTTTATAAAATTTGTGTCTACTTTAAGAGGATAAGATCATCAAATAATAGAATGCAGCTAGAGTTTAAACTATACCATACACGAGGCAGTAAATCACCTCATTTCAACTTTCTTATCTGATAAGAGCTAACACAAGCTACATTTTCTGAATGCTCATATTATAAATCATAGGTTCAGTTTTATGTGATCTATTAATTGGTTTACTTTTACTAATTTTCTATTTACTTTTGAGACTAATTGTTTTACTTTTACTAATTTTCTAATTATTTTTAGAAATAACAAGAAGCATTAACAATTCATTTTCACTCAGTTTGTAAGCAAGAGATTTGAATAACATACCTGAAAATTGATTAAGATTAGCTAAGTTGGCCTCATTGAATATCAACATAAGTAACTATCAAAATTCCAACAAAATCAAACACGAAAGGTTAATGATTTGTTTGCAATATCTCAAATCAAAATTAGTTTGCAATATTTTTCATAATTTGAACAAATTCATAAACAAATTAATATCAAAACTTCCAAACATAATTTGTAGCAAAATCCAGTCTAATTTGCAAAAAACAAAACATAAGATAAAATCTCAATAAAAAAATATCGCTTAAACTTTTTGTAAACCTAGAAAAATATTAAGCTTTCTATGAATGGATTTCAAGTTGATTTATAATCGTCTACAAGTTCACAACCTCAGAAATTATAAATTATAATTCGAATTTCACTATTAAGAACCCTAAATTCACCATACTAAAAATAAATTAACGATAAACCATAGATATAGAAACTCGGTGATTTAAAAATGAGAAGAAAAAAATCGTACCTTAGAAGCTGCTTTAATGGAGTAAATAAAGCTCGTAAGTCGCTTCAATGGAGAAGTGAAAGCTCAGAAGCCGCTTTGATGGTGAATTCAGAGCACTGACTTTAACGGAGGAGAGAGAGATTGATTGGAGGAGAGAGAATCGGAAGAAAAGAGCGAATTAGGTGACCCACAAACTTCTAAATAGCATATAGGGAAAGTTTGGAATTTCTTCTCCAAGCTATCCATATGGGGTTTAGGCAGAGACTGCAACTGTTCCTTATGGATGGATAACTGGTCAGGCTTAGGATCTCTTAGATCTCTCATCCAGGGCCCTCTCCATCAAAACCTTGAGTCTCTCCACCTCTCCTCCATTGTCCAACAGAATGTCATCAACATTCACAGCCTTAGGCATTTCCTTCGTCTTCCTTTTGTCATCTCCAAGCTCTCTGCTATCATTAGACCTGGCAATCCTGACCCAAACCCGAATGACCCGAAATCGACCCAAAAACAGTGACCCGAAATTGATCTGAAACCCGAAATCAACCCGACCTGATCCATACCCGACCCGAAGTGGAATTGACCCAACCTTGACCCGAAACCCGAAACGACTTGACCAGAAATGACCTGACCCGAAGTTGACCCGAGACCCGAGACCCGAAATGACCAGACACGAAGTTGACCCGATACCCAAAGTGACCCGACCTTTAACTTGAATTAATTGACCCAAATAGACTCGAAACCCAAAGTGACCCGAACTAAAATTATCTTATACTTGAAATGACCAGAATCTATTTAAGCTAACGATTTGACCTGAGCAAACCAAAATAGAAAATAACCGCAATCAAACTGGCTTAATTTTTTTTTTATTAATTTGTAATGTGTAACAGTGTAAGTAATTTACAGATTTTGAGCATTACTTTTCTCGATTTCTTCGGCCTTTTCTCTTTATAAGTTATTAAAAATTCTTAAAAAGATTGAAATTTAACAACTATTCTACGTAGTTTTTCCATAAGATTAAGAAAAAATTTACTAAAGCTTGAAATAAAAGTCATAATTCTCACAAGTCTAGAAAAAAAAAATAGTACAATAATAATGCGTACATAACATAATGTTCAATACCAAAAGAAATTACAAAATATTCTAAATAATTATACTCCAATATTCGACTCTTAAAATTGTTGACAATTAACACTTGGAGCCGAACCAAAAAATCCATCATCCTCCTTTGCTACATAAATATAAAAACAATAATATAAGCAAATACACTATAAATGCAAAAATAAAGAAACAAGAATGTACAGCTCTAAAAAATGTAGGAATATGAATATATATATTTAAAAAAATATAATAAAATACTTACTTTCAAAAGAGTAAGTCCAACTACGAGTAATTAAAGCCTCCACACTTTCAGAAATTGATGAACTTTTCCATTTATTCAATACTCGACTCCCAAATATTTGAATCATAATAATGTTCAAACATTTCAGATTAAGATAAGGTGTAGCATCTCTTATCTAATAATGTTCAAATATTTGAATCATAATTCTGAAACTATATCCACACAGAATTTGAAATGTTGCAGTGGAGACAAAATAATAATATCTAAACCAATCAAAAAGGGAAAATCAACCTTCTGTTTTTATATACATTCAAATTAAGGCCATGACAACATAACATCAATTGAAAAAAATAACTCGCAGGCTTATGGACAACCAGAAGATAGTGACTGCATATAAAAAACTTACATCCCCATAAAAATTGATAATAAGTAACCAGTAAGTATTTTGGGCAGCAATTGGGAGATAGTTTCAATAATATCATAGTTAAGAAATTATCAAAGCAAAATTCCAACTCAAACACTGATTTTAGATGAACAATGCCGCCTTTTTCAATTGACGATAATATGGAGAATTCAAAATTGATAACAAATTTATCCACTCAAGAGATATATCATTGAACTTTTCAATTCAAAATGAAGAATTATATATCCAACCCAAAAGTATATCATTTCAGCTTAAATCTAATAATCTGAAATTAAGCGCTAAATTGAGAAATTGATTGATATTCAATAATCTAAAAAGAAAATCTTTACCTCAAAGGCTGGCTTCAATGGAGGAGAGAAAGCTCAGAAGGCGCGTTTCAACTGAGGGAATGGAGAACCACATGCAAATCAAATTAAGCGCACCTCAAGTACAGGAAGCTCGTGAATTGGCTTCCTATAAGTGAAAAAAATTGCAAAATCAAAACCTAATCTCAAAGTATCAAATTAACATCAATCAATCACAAAACTTGAATTGAAAATCCTGATGCTAAAATCATAAAATTTGAAACAAAAAACCACAATAAAGAAGAGGAAGATAGAAAGAGGGAAACCTTGCCAGAGCGCTTGAGATGAGTAGCATAAGATTAGAGAAGAGTGAAGACAAAAGAGAGAGATTGGACTTCAATGGAGTAATGGATGGAATGAAAAAACGAAAACGGCTGAGGAAGATTCTAGGGCTGTAGGTTTTTTTTTTTTTTTTTCTTATTGTTTTACATTTATTTTTGTTTTTTGTAGTTTAGAATTTAGTCACTTTACTTTTACTTGTGGAAATTTGAAGGGAGTATTCCCGCTAATAATTTTGGAGTTTTAGCCATCTAGGGGGAGGAATTTCCCACAACTTTTAGTGGATTACTAAACATCACCTACAAATTACCAACTAAAGCCCACAAAATTCCATTGAATTGAAAATATTGCCCTTGATTAAAAAAAAAAAAAACTCTCTTATCACCCAAAAAAAAAATCTCACCCAATTTCATTCTACGTTTTTTTAAGAAAAAAAATTCAAAGTACGGCAATGTCGAGGCGCCAAGGCAAGGAATTAGCGGCAGCGACGACGGAGAGAAGGAGGTCTCACAGTGGAAAGGTTGGTTTTTTTCAAAAAAAAAAAAAAAACTGTCGTGGCAAGGCGGGGCGCCTAGGGAGGACGCCAGGCTGGCGCCGCCACCACCGGCGTGGCGTCCTCCCCATGCGCCCGGTTTTTTTTTTTTTTTTTTTTTTTTTTGAAAATCATTTTTTTTTAAATCAGAATTTATTTTTGTTTTTTTAAGTAATTTTTTTTTTTTGAAATTAGAGTTTTTTTTGTTTTTTAAGTTTTTTTTTTTGAAAATCAGATTATTTTTATTTTGTTTATTTTTTTTGAAAATCATTATTTTTATTTTGTTTTTTGTTTTTTTGTTTTTTTCAGTACTTTTTTTCTTTAAATTAAAATTTTGTTTTAGTTTTATGTTTTTTTTAAGAAAAAAATTCAAAGTACGGAAATGTCAAGGCGGCAAAGCAAGGAATTAGCGGCGGTGACGGCGGAGGGAAGGAGGTCTCGAGGTGGAAAAGTTGGTTTTTTTCCACAAAAAAAAAAAAAAAAAAAAAAAACTGTCGTGGCAAGGCGGGGCGCCTAGGGAGGACGCCAGGCCGATGGTGGTGCCGCCAGGAGCAGACGCCGGAACCACGGCCTGGGCGTCTGGATCTGGCGCCGCCACCACCGGCGTGGCGTCCTCCCCATGCGCCCGATTTTTTTTTTTTGTTTTTGTTTTATTTCTTTTGTTTTATTTTTTTGAAAATCAGAGTTTTTTTTTGTTTTTTTAAGTAATTTTTTTTAAAATTAGAGTTTTTTTTTGTTTTTTTAAGTTTTTATTTTTGAAAATCAGATTATTTTTATTTTGTTTATTTTTTTGAAAATCATTATTTTTATTTTGATTTTTTTTTTGTTTTTTTCAGTACTTTTTTTCTTTAAATTAAAATTTTGTTTTTGTTTTATGTTTTTTAAAGTCTTTTTTTTTTAAATCAGAATTTTTTTTTTTTTTCTGTTTTTGTATATTTTGTTGTTTATTTGTATAAATTTTTTTCAATTTTGTTGTATTTTTTTTATGTTTATACTTCCTTTACATTTCTTTGTATGTTTGTTTTGTACATTTTTTTTATATTTGTTATTGCAATTTGTTAGTACGTTTTTCTGTTTAGTTGATAATGTTTTCGTTTAGTTTATTTTTTTTAATTTTTCTTGTATGTTTATATATATTTTGTATGTGTTGGTGTTTTTTTTTTGTTTGTGTATATTTTATTTTTTAATTTATTTTAAGTGTTTTGTTAATTTATTTTATTTAAGTGTTTTGTGTATAATTTATTTTTTAATTTATTTTATGTGTTTTTAATTTAGGCTCGTAGAGAACGGGTTCACCATCAGGATGAGGATGAAGATGATGATGATGAGGAGGAGGAGGAGGAGGAGGAGGAGGAGGAGGAGGAGGAGGAGGAGGGCGCATACGAGGATGTGGACGATGGGAGTGGACCATATGATGATTACGGTCCATTCAGTCAGAAGCTAGATGACATGTACGAGACGCATAGGGTAGATGTGCGTAACGGTAGGGATGGTAGGTTTGTTAGTAGATCTGGCACATCATCTGCGTCCACCGTGTCTTGGGCAAGCAGAAAACGGTCGAGGGTCGTTAACGATTCTTGGGTGGTTAAGGGTAAGGTGCCTGGGGGGCCTGTAGACGGGAGTGTGATTCCTAGCTTTATAGGACACATAGCTTGAAGGACCAGGAGAGGGGTTTGGTGACGGGCATTTTGAAATGCCAAACCCGGGAAAAGACTTGTATCGTTTTGAGCAAATGGGCTGAGTCTTGGCTGGTGGAGACCGAGATGTTTGAGCGACTGCAGGGCACTGGGTGAATCACCTTCCTGCCACCATGCACGATAAGATTGACTAGACGCTGATCACGGCTTTCGTTGAGCGATGGCAGCCGGATACAAACTCTTTCCACCTTTCATTCGGTGAGATGACGATCAAGTTGCATGATGTTGAGGCCATTCTTGGGATTCGCGCAGAGGGTAAACGCCTTTCTGTTGTGACTGATGCGGATCAGGCAGATTTGCTGGCGGAGCTGTTGGCGGTGGACAGGGCTGCGCTGTACACCGGGCGCTTAGTGTTTGGGACCACGACGGTGTGAAGATCGCATCCGTCTTGCAGCGTTGTTTGCACCTCGGTGCACGTAGGACGCACGACGCACAACTGGCTGCTTATGTTTTTCTTCTCCTCGAGTGTACCTTGTTTCCGGATAAGAGCGGAAACAAGCTCAGGCTACGTAACGTAGTTGATGCGTGTGAGCCCGACAGTGTTGGCCAATTTTCTTGGGGGTCGTCTACGTTGGCGTATCTGTATCGCCAACTAGGATTTTCGAGTCGGGCTGACGCGGCAGGTATCACTAGATGTCTAACTTTATTGCAGACCTGGATATAGGAGTATTTTCCTGCATTTCGACCACACCGTGACCCGATTCCTATTGGTGATGGGATGCCCCGTACTTGTGCGTTGAGTCCGCGGTTGGAGAAGAAGTCTGTTGACCGCCTCCGATCGATACAGTTATCGCTTGACAGGATGTCCCCCTTAGAGGTGAAGTGTATAAATTATTTCTAAATTTGTACTGCAATGCATTTATTATATGAATCTTACTAATTTGAATAATTTCGTGCAGGTGAACTGGATGCCTTTCGGCCAGAACTCTAGTAATAGGGTACCCAGGACCCTCTACACGGGACTCATACAGTATCGTGAGATCGTGGAGGTGTACATGCCCCAGCGCTGTCTTCGCCCGCTTGGATTCGTCCAAGTTATCCCACCTCCACCGACATGGCCGAGTAAGGCGGTCCGATCTGCATCGTCGAAGGACTACGTCGTCCAATGACTGGATATCATGATTGCCACGTGGGAGCAGTTCCTGATGGTTGCCCGCTTATGGACTGCGGAGCTGCAGAGGCCGCCTACTGGGGTGCCTCCCATGTGTGACCAGCACTACATGGAATGGTATAACCGATATTCGCACCCGAGGTTGATTAGAGACCTCGACCATGGCGACGATGCCAATGATCATGATATGCCACCACCAACTGCCGTAGATGTGGTATGTCTGAACAAAAATTTATTGTTGCGTTTTTTTTAAAGTTTTATATATCTTTATTCAATTTCATGTTTTATTTGTTGTTGTGTGTAGTGGATGGGAAAGATAATGCAAGGCGTGCAAAAACTCTCCCTGGAGAAGGACATCATGAGTGCAGCAGGGAGAGCTGCTGTTGATGAGTTGGAACAGACCCTTGCGCATTGGGAGTCGGCGGCAAAGAGGGATTACTGATGTTTTTGGCATTTTGTTTGTTGAACATTTTTTACATTATCATATTAGTTTGTGAAATAAGACATTATCTTTGTAGTTTGCAGAACTTAATACAATCTTTTTAGTTTTTAACATTTAAAATTATCGTTTTAGTTTTTAACATTTGAAATTATCGTTTTAGTTTATAACATTTGACATTATCTTTTTAATTTGTAACGCGCAAAGTATGCATGCAAGATATAAATGTAGTCAACAGTACAATACGAGGATAATAAGCAACGCAAAAATAAGGTTACACAGAAATAGTGTACAAAAGAAAAACTAAAAAGCTGTTAGGGTGTTCCATTGATGGATCAGGTCATGATACAGCGCATCCCAACCCTCTACGCTTGCTTTGCGAATGTCGTACCACCGAGGTATGATCGGTGGGACAGGAAAATCGGATGACAAGTCCAGTCGGATGAAATGTTTGTATGACGACCCAAGAAATGCAATAGCTAACTCTCTAACCGGTGTAGTGACGAACTCACGCGAAGACTAAGGGAGAACTGTTTTACAAGGATAATAAGCTCGACTATGCAATCCCAGCCCGAAATGCATTACTGCGCACTTGTAAATGTTTGCAACGGCAAAGAGATCTAGTGGCGCGTCGAAATAGTGATTTAGACCGCAAGGTCCTCCTCCCCACCGGATACGCCGCAGAGCACTATCCAAGCCGTCCTGGTACACATGACGATAAACATCTCGGTTAGAGGCAATGTCACTGTACATCAACTGACGCACTAAAGCGTAGTTGTCTTTGCCCATCTGAAAGACATCAGCCACGACCTGGAATCCGCAGTTACCATCTCCAACTACATCATTCCATCCGTCCAAGTATGACATGATGATGTTAGGTATCCTATCCTTGTATGGAAACTGGTCAATATCAATTCTTCCTGTTGAACATATCATTGAACACAGTGAACAAGTCAGCAGTAAACTCAAAACCATTATAAAACGTAAATTAAAGTAAGCTATTGTACCAGTGCCGGGCATATTCACAGACGAAGAAGACTGGCTACGACTGGATGACGATGTACGACCACGACCACGAATGTACTCAAACACACTCCTGTTCCGCCGTTGACGACCTCTAGGTCGCTCGACCCCTTTAGGTTCCTCGTGATCTAAGCAGGACGTGTTGAACATGTCATGCAGTACGTGAGTAGCATCACGAATAATGGAAGGATGACTGGAGGACACTCGGTCATACATCGAACGAAACTGCTCCAACTCTTTCTGTTCATGGTCGACCGTCTGCGTATCTGCATGCTCACCAATAACGAGCGTCCGCCAGAATGGATGAACCTGATCAACGTGTAACGACGTCCTATCTTGGGTAGTTACACGGTGAATGGTGCATGCGCAAGGTAATCCATGAGTTACTGATATAGCACATCCACACCGAACATCAACTTCATTAGCCAACTCCCTTATTCTGTTGTGCTCGATCAGAATCAACCCCAAGCAGTAGTGTGACACACGCCCATGTAGAATCTTAAATATGAAATGGCTATACATCGTACCATGTTGCCGCCTAGAGTCCTCCAGAGAGTTCCTGATGTCGTTCTTCTGAGTTTCAATTG